AAAAGGGTGTTTTGTTTTGCTTTTTGCAGAACCAGGGATTGAACTCAGGCCTTTGTGCTTGCCAGGCAAGTGCTTATTCTACTGAGCCATCTCCCTGGCCCAGTTAAGATTATTATACTACTACTTCTCTTACTTCATTGAAACGAAAGGCTTGTGGGCTGGCCAGATAGCTCTGTGGACTCAAGCGCCTGCTTAGGCAGAGTGCAGAGACTGTGGTTTGATCTCGGACACCACATGCTGTGCTGGCCCCTCCCCCAGGGCACACTGAGAGGCTGATTGGGCGTGGTGGCATGCACATGTAATCCCAGTGCTTGGGAGGCTGAGGCAGGAAGATCACTACGAGTCCGATCTGTGTAATGAGACCCTGTAGACCCTGTACTAAATACATAAAAAAAGAAAGGCTTGTGCTAATATTGTTTGGACAGTTAAATGCCTATGTCCTGTACTCTGAGTAATTAATTAGTTTTTTTCCTTTGTTTTTTAACTCATTATTAACTATTGAAAAATAATAGACAGCAAATTAAAAATTGTAGACAAATATTGAAATGTGAAAGATACGAGGTAGACAGTGAATTTTAGGGAGATATTTCTGAAATGAATACATAACATGAGATTAATAATAGATTGCACAGGGGCAGGGGAGATGGCTCGGTAGGATAAGTGCTTGCCTGGCAAGTGCAAGGGTCTGAGTTCAATCCCTGGTTCCACCAAAAAAAAAAAAAAAAAAAAAATGATAATAGATTGCACAGTGTAAAAATATTATTTACAAGCCTAAAAGAATATAACAATAAAATTGTCTACAACATGAAGAAGAAAGAATTTACAGATCAGTCATAACAGTTCACTCTGTGCCAAAATCAAGAAACTTATATAATTAGAATTCTCAAAGTAGAATGGGGTAAGCAATAAATATTTAAAGATTTAAAATTTCTGAATTTAGTTGAAATTATAGCACCACATTCTCAAGAAAAATGAACCTTTTACACAAGAAATATGAATAAAATCATACCAGAATACACAAAAATGAAATTGTCCAAAACTAATTGTAAAAAAAATCATTAATGCATATACATAGAAAAAGTATTAGCTATGGAAGAACAAAATTAAATATCATCTTATTCCACATTAGAAAAAAAAAAGAGCAAGTGGGTAAGAAACTAGACTTATTTATTCAAAGGACTGAAAAAAAAGATCTGTCCTCATTGAATTTTATGCTTAGCAAACATACCCTTGAAAACTAAAAGTAAAATATTTTCCAGTTATACAAACTCAAAATACTCTAATATCTTCAGATGCAGCATATAGAAAATAACAAAGACCATAATCCAGAAGGCAAAGGAAGTTGCCGTATGGTCCTGGATAAAGAATAGAGCTCTCAAAATGGTAGTTATACAGGACTTCGTAAAATTCTGAGTAATTAACTTAAAGATAACAGCATGCAGTGTGTTAACTATTGTTACCCTCCTTTTATCTTGTTTTGAAATTTTATTTTCTCTTTAAAATAAAGTAAATAAACCAGGCTTCCCACAAGAGATGTTTTTCTAGCCACCCCTGGGGGATGCATTGGAGCTGGGTCAGGGTGGAAGACTAGTCCTTGGCTCACTCGGACATCCAGACAGGAGGCCATGGCTCCGGGACTGTAGGGGTGGAACTAGAAGTGAAGGATGGGCAGAGGGAGAGGAGGTGGAGTGGCCATGGATGTCACCGCTGTGGTGACATCCCCTCCCCCAGCCCAGTGGGAGCCGCTGAGGGGTGGTAGTACAGAAAGAAAGACCTGTTTTGGGGGTGGGGAAGAGTGGGAGGATGATGCTTTCAGTTGGGTGGGGAGCTGCCTGTGAGACCTGGAAAGAGAAGGAGGAGGATAAGCAGGAGGAGGCGGAGGAGGAAGTGGCTATGTGGCTTGAGGCTGGAGGTGGGGAAGTGCAGATCGATGCCATAACACCTGCTGAGCATGGCTTGTGCGTGTGTGTGCGTGCAGAGGTATCCACGGTCCTGCTGCCATGAAGCTCCCTGTGCGGCAGAGGACGCAGAGGCGTCCTGTGTGATGCTGTGACAGTGCTGAGTCCAGGGCTGTGTGCCTGGCTGTGGGGCAGAGCAAGCTCTTTGGAGAAGTCGTGGTATGGCCACATAGAGGGAACAGCATGCGCCGGGTGCAGAGCTTGGCACACATCATGGGGAGCAGAGGACTGCTGTCCCCTCCCTGCATGCTGTAGGAGTTCGAGCTCTCATCTTTTGGAGGAGGGAGCTTGGGTGTTATCTCCTGCGGTGTAGGTAGTGGGCTCTCCATCGGGGTGGGTGCCCAGGTCAGTGTGTTGTTGGAGACTGCAGTGGCCTGCTGATTCCCATAGGTCAGGCTACACCCTACAGAGTGCTGGTTTGTCAGCCCCAAGAATGGGTCTGTCTTGGATAAAAATGTCCAGCTCCAATTACAGTCAGTAGCAGGCAGGGGCCAACAGGATTTGGCTTAGGGTCTGACTGGCTTATGAAGTTCAGTGGTGACAAGGATCAGTGTGTGCTGTCCCTGTGAAAATGAAGTTAAAATTTTGAATAAAGCCTGCCGTGAATGCCTGCCAAAACCTGACAGATGTGTCTGGGCTAGCCTGATAATGAGACCTTTCTTCCTTTATGAAACCCATGCTTGTTTAACTGATGGCCTTGAGATGTAACTTGAGATATTTAAACTTCCTTAACAACCCATGATGTCACTAATCCTCCAATCACAGTTGTGCATATCTTCTACCTTTGTACATCCCTGCTTGCTTTCTCTATAAAAGTCCCTAAATCCTGCCAGGTGGGGGATCCCAGTCAGGCCTGCTAGTTTAGTGAACTGCCTCCTAAACTTTATCAGTACCCTTCCTGTGTTCGATCTGTTTTCTGCAACACCTAAAAGCTAGCCTACTCACAAAAATAAATCCAGTCAGAAGGGCAGTACACTTTGGAGTGGGCTGCCTAGTTATGTCCTGGTGAGATGGGGCTTGATCTGCCACACAGCAGGCACTGTTAGGCAGGGAAGACTGTTTAATCTTGAGGTCCCAGCCCCTTGTTTGGATAGGTATTGTTTTGGACTCCCACCACTCTATTTTTTAAAAGAATTATTCATGTATTTATTTATTTGATACAGGGCTTTGCTATGCAGTTCAGAGTTGTAGTGATCCTCCTGTCTCAGCCTTCCCAGTGCTGGGGTTACAAGTGTGCGCCACTACGCCCAGTTTTGGTAGCCAGCATGGCGTGCCCAGGGTTTTGGGGCTGGCACAGCATGTGGTACCAGGGATTGAACCTGGGTTCTTGTGCTTGCCAGGCAAGTGCTTAGACCACTGAGCTATTATCCCTCTGGCCCCTCACTACTCTTCTTAAAGGAATATGTTTTAGCCGCTTTGTTTCCTTCAGTCTGGCTTTTGAGGTAATCTATATCTGTAAGGCGTTGAGGTGTAAGGTGTTGAGAAGCCTTGCAAGTTGCATATGGTCAACAGAAGTATTTCTTTGGTTTACACAGGAATTTTAGTTTGAATTACTTGCAGTATTTAAAACATCGAATTTCATGCACAGGTCTGGATTTACAGTTCACTTGGAGAAGCAGCTTGGAGGTGCATCTTGCTTGGTGGAGGCTGTTGGTCTGTATAGATGCGCTGGTGCTTCAGGTGTCCCAGGCCCCGTCCGGCCTGCCCCTTGCTTTTCAGTCCCTATCTAGAACTTGCTTTGTGGCAACTAAAACAAAAAAAAATTTTTTTTGAGTTGCAAATTACATACAATACAAGGTATCTATTTTAGTCTAAAGTTAGCTAACTTTTTACCAATCTGATTTATTGTTGTAATTTCAGAGCTGAACTCTAGAGGGCAGTGTTTCTCCTCCCTGCAGGTTTTGGGGAGCATTGTGCCAGGTGCTCAGCACCCTGACCCCAAAGACTGCAAGGTGTTTCAGCTGCCTGTGTCTCCCCCACCTTCTGGGTGCTTCCTGGGTGCAGTGCTGCTGGAATCCAAGCCTCTGCTCTTTGTGCCATGCTGAGTTGCTTCTAGGTTTAGCTACAGAAAGGGTCCACTGACAAAATGTTAATTGTTGAATGGTAAAAAAGTAATAATTATAGCGACTGTCATTTGTCAAATTCTGCCATATGCCAGGAGCTGTGCAGGGTTGTTTAAAATAGCTTATCTCTAATTCATGTGAGCAAGTCATCCCATTTCAAGCTGAGGAAATGCAGGCACAGAGAGGGTGAATGGTTTGCTATGGGCAGGGAGCAGTTGGCTTGAGGAATTCTATGGCCCAGAGAAAGATGTGTTCAGCTCCCTGCAGTGTGCTGGGTGGAGCTTCCTTGAGGGGAACATGTTTAAGCACCTCAGTGGGAAGAATGAGTGTTTATCAGGTAGAGATGGGTAGGCATGGGGCAGGCATTCCAGATACAGGGCAGAGCATACAGAGGGAGAGAGGAAGGAAGCAGTTGGGCTTTGGGGAGAGCTGACTGAGATTGTTACAGCCTTAAAAATTAGGGCCTTGAATGCCTTGCCCAGAACTTTGGCCTTTAACTCAAAAGTCAGTGTGTTTTTAAGCTTTGCTGTGAGAAGCTGTGGAGAGGCATCCTTGTTTGTCCTCCGTTCACTAGAAGTGCTCTCAAGGGGTTGTTTGCTTAGGCATCAGTGGAAAATTTCCTTCAGAGAGAGGGTTTCTTAAGAAAAAACCCAAGAGTTACTATTGCTGTCATTGGGGCAGTTGAATGTCTGTGAGCAGAGGTGTGACATGGCCAGACCAGAGTCTGGCAGCCTAGAGTTGGGTCAGCAGGGGCCAGGCTGGGGGCAGGTGGACCTGTGAGTGTGCACAGATTCTTCTTGGCCCTTGATCCCTGACCTGTGAACTGTGGTTCTGTTTGTGTTCAGTTGCTGGGTGTGTGTTCTTTGAAGAAGTCTGGTCCCATTTGCTACCTCCTTCTGCTCCACTGAGCTAAGAGAACAGCTTAGAATTAATATTTAAATTTTGTTCTCTTTTAGACTGATTGAGGAGTTGAAGCTGTCTTTGAAGAGCAAAGAAGCTTTAATTCAGTGCCTTAAAGAGCAGAAATCTCAGATGGCATCTCCTGATGAGAATGTGTCATCTGGAGAGCTCCGAGGACTTTCTGCTGCTCAGAGGGAAGGAAAAGAGAGAGATGCTGAGGTGAGGTGCTGGGGCGTGAGGGGAGCTGTGGCAGATCAGATTTCTGTGGGAGAGGGACGCCCTCAGGCCAAGATGTGTGCACAGCTGGCTTCCATGTTAGGTTCCCTGTCAGAAAGGGAACAGCAGAAACCAGTCAGTGGCCTTGGCATGTCCCCCTACCTCCTGTTCCTGTGAAGAGTTGGTTAGAAATGATCCTGCACCTGCTCACCTCTGTCCCACCCTGTGCTCATGTGTTGTTGCCCAGGGACTTGATTTTCATCCCGTGGGCTTTCTTGGGATAAGATTGCCGGGCACTGCACACATCTATTTTGCCTGTGTGGTTAGGGTCAGGCTGGAGGCCGACTTCGGCTGGAATCTTCAGAGGCAATGAGAGAAGCAAACTAATTGGGCTGGCCAGGTGACAGGCAGGGGGTTCTGTGACTTGCTCATCCTCCAGCCACTGGGAAGTAGAGTTTAGAATTAGGCCCAGAGGGGTTGTTACAATTTTCCAGGCTCCAAGAAGGGGGTTACTAGGAGCTGGCCCCAAAGTACACTGGACTCCCCACCCACTGTGGCCTCGTGGCCAGATTGTTGGGTAGCATGGAGAGGTTAGGAAGCGTGGGTAGTTCTGTGGGCAGGCCCCGTGTGCTCGCTGCATGTGCTCCCTCGCCTTGGGGGCTGCTGTGGGTGCTCGCGAGAAGACCAGGTTGCCTTATGGAAGAGGTCCATTCGTTTTCTATCTGGAATTGGCTGTTGTTTTCCATTCCTCCTTTAAGCCTCTTCCCCTTCCCTGGCCCTGTCCTCCTGTCCCCCAAGAAGCCCTTTTCATGGCATGTTGTTGGTGGGCCGGGGGATCCACCAGTGTGGACTGTTTGTCCTCACAGTTTTCTTCACTCAAATCAGGACTTTGGGTGGGACTTCGGGTGGGGCAGAAGGAGGAAGGGCACTTGTTATAATGAGTCCTGCTGCAGTGGGAGAAAGCTTGGGAATGAATTGGTCTGGGGCAGCCCTGGGTTGTGGGTGCCATCCCTTCTGGTCACCAACGACCGGCTTTTCCTAGGCTGCACGAGTGGAGCATCAGAAGGAGAGAAGAGAGCTTGAAGAGAAGATCCAGGTATGCTGATGGATCTAAAAACTTCAGTGCAGATGTATCCTATTCTTACCTCTTTATTCTGAGTGCAGTCGACAATCCTGTGTGGTGGCAGCTGCCACCTATTGAATGCTGCAGTGAGCCCCTCGTGGCCTGTTAGGGGAAGCTTCTCAATCCTTGCATGACTCTAGGACGTGGACATTCCTTTATCGCAGGTGTGGGCCTGAGGCTTGGAAAGGTGAAGTTACTCGCCCAAGAGCGCATGGTTGGGGTGCAGACCTGCCATCCACTTGCGGGCCAGTGCTGCCTGGGCTCCGCACAGCACGGCGTTGGCATGGCGCCTGCCTGCTTCGAGCACTCTCACATCTGTTGTCTCACTTGATCCTCACGACAGCCCAGGAGGGAGGCAGCAGTGATTATCTTCAGAAATGAACTCAGACCATAAATGGATACTTCAGCCTCCATCCAGCCCAATTCTCTGCTAGTTTTTGTAGCATTAAGGAATGAAATTAATGAGCTATTACTCCCCCCCACCCCCATAACCCAGTACGGATCCAGAGCTCTGATGGGACTGTGCTGAGATTCTAGAAGGCGTTGGCGCCCTTCCTGCAGGAGAAGCGGTCACTGCCTCAGCTGCTCTCACCCCTTCCCTTTGCCCAGCCCCATTGCCGTGAGCGGCAACACAGTAACTCAGAGCTGGTGCCGTGCGTTCAGCCTGACTTGGAGACATTAATCACAGGCTGACAGGAATAAGATAGAATAACTGCATCTGAGCGTGCTCTTAAAGATATATTTACAGTGCATTTTGGTTGGAACGCATCAACTTTGTGAATCTTTTTCTAATCTAATTTAGGCACTTGAGGAGGACCTGAGAGAGAAAGAAAGAGAAATTGCTACAGAGAAGAAAAATAGTTTAAAGAGGGATAAAGCCATTCAGGGCCTAACCATGGCATTAAAATCAAAGGAAAAAGAGGTATGTGTGATACGCTTGAAGTGCGATTTTTCTTTATTAGTTTCTGTGACTGGCCTGTCTTGCCCTGAATTTCTAGCTTTAGATAAAAAAGTTTGTAAGAGAGCTAAGATTGTACAGAAAGTGGGGGAAGGTTCCTTTAGCCAACTGGAAATCCTTTTTGAGTGTCTAATCCAGTGCTGTCCAATAAAAGTATACTTGAAGTTAATCAAATAATTTTAACTTTTCTAGTGACCAATTAAATGAAGATGTAAGTAAAATTAATTTTAATAATATATACCTTTCAGGCATTAGCATTTCAACATGTAATCAATACAACAAACGTAACAATGAAGTATTTAGTATTAATTTTTTCAGTACTAAAAGGTTTGAAGTCCAAGTGCTTCTCAGTTCAGACTCACCACATGTCCTATTTAGCAATACAGATCTGTTCTTTAGCAGGATAACAGGAAATGGGACTTTGGGGAGGTGAGGCTGTGCCTGTGAGCAGCTAGAGAGCCATTTGGCTTGCTGCCTTGGGGGCCAGGGTGGCAGCTGATGGCGGCTTTCTTGTCATGAGTTAGTATAGCAGTCTGTTGTGCTCTGTAGCTGCATTGGGCCCGGCACTGAAAGGGTATGCAGCCCTACTTCCCAGCAGTGGGGAGAGTGAGGGAAGTTCCAGGTGTGTGGAGTCAGAGGAAAGGGACCTGCTCCAGAGGAGGTGCGGATGTGGGCAGCAGGGGTGTGCTCAGGGGAGAGGATATCTGAGCTGAGTCTTGGAAGGCTGGGGAGGCGTGAGCTAGGAAGGAGGCAGACAGGGCGTTTTGGAGAGGAGGAAGACATTTGTTAGGCCTTTGGCTGGGACGAGCCTGACATGTGGTGTGGGCAGCACTGCACATGGTTTAAGGTTGCCAGAGGACAGAGTAGATGAGAGGAGAAGCTGGACTGCTGTGAGGGGACAGCCAGTGTGGGACCAACCCTCCTTAGCCAGTTGGGTGGCACGCCATGGAGCAGGAGCGGTAGGAACTTTTTTTCACTTGGGAGAGGTCTCTAGCCAGATTTGGAGAGCCGACTGTGGGAGAGAAAGAGTAGGAGAGAAAGAATAGAGGCAGGGAGGTGAAAGCCAAGAACATTAATGAGGGCAGAGGTTGAGGCAAGTAGAATGGAGGTGGAAGGGTACAGTCTAGCTCTAAGAAGTAGAGCTAGAACTAATTAGAAATTGGAATTCCCACTGGGAAAAATCTGATGGTTAGACGTGGCACTAGAGCAGGAAGGGTCAAGGGTGACTCCAGGCATCTGGCTTGCATGACTGGAGAACCAGGGATGCCACCCCTTCAGTTCAGAGTGTGGAAAGTGGGGTATGAGCTGCAAGAGGGAGGCAGCGGTGCAGAAGCTGAATCTGTTGAGAGCGTGTTGACTCTGAGGAGCCTGGACAGTGTCCAGGAGGCAGAGGCTGTGCGCAGCTAGAGTCTGGGGATCACTCCACTGCATCACTTCTCCATGTGTGGGAGTTAAGTTCTGAGGGCTGAAGTTAAGGAGGGCACAGAATGGGGAAGAAAGGCTGTGGATGGGACTGGAGGAGGATGGGGCAGGAGAATTTCAGGGGATCAGCTGGTGTGCGCCTACAGTGGGGTGAGTATGGTCGCAGGAAATGAAGGAGAAAACTGGTGCGAAAGATGAGAAGGGAGTGTGAGCATTTGACAACCACCAGTGTGGCTCCTAATGATAGAAGTTACTATTCACCTCTTGCATGGGAAGGTCAGGAGAGCAGTTCTGGGTGCTGTTCAGGGCCAGGGTGTGGGCATAGTAGTTCAAGGCTGACCGTAGGGCTTGGGAAAGGGCATTAGAAGAGGAGGAATTCTGGGAGTAGTCACCCTAAGTAGCTCGGTGTGTCACCTACAGGGTCAGTAATAATAGTAACACTTTATTGTGTGAGCCAGACATTATTTTAGCACCAATATACATTGCCTCATTTAAGTGTAGTAAGTCTACAGTGGAACAAGTGGTAGTATCCTCACCATACGAGGTGTATGTTTTCTTACTATCATTAAGTACCAGAGGTAGGATAGCTTTATAAAGAAAAGAGATTTATGTAGTTTATAGTTGGGAGGCTCAAATTCCAGCATTGGGCAGCTACATGCATTTGCCCTCTGGCAAGGGCATAATGGTGAGTGTTTGGGTGGGTTTCACAGGGAGAGATCACATCCCCAAATAGGAAGTCAGAGAGACTGGGTTCCCGCAGCCCCTCCCATGCACGTGCCCCCAGGTGACTTCCCTCCATCGTCACACTGAGGGCTGAGTTTCCAGCAGATGAATGTTAGGGAGCTCCAACCCTATCCAGATGGTAGCAATAGTTGAGGAAATTGAGTCTCAGAGAGGGTAGAGCACCAAGCGAGTAGGTGGCCAAACTCGAACTTTCACTCTGGTCTTTTCTAACACAAAGGCATTGCTATAAGCACCGCACAACGGAGCAGGAAAAGCATTTTGGACAGGCAGCGAGGAACGGACAGTTGTGCACACGGCTGCCATTCTTTATTTCCCTCAGGTTGGAGAACTTAACTCTGAGGTTAAAGAGCTCAGCACTGCCCTGGCTAAAGCTAAAGAGGCTCCGCAGAAAACACAAGCCACAGCATTCCACGTAAGTGTCCCCGTGGTGTCCTCTGTGTCTCCGTCCCATCTCTACCTGCCTGTCTGTGGCTCTCTCACATCCTCACATGTACGAGGCAGGCTCTGGTGCTGCCCTGTCACTGAGCTGCACCCCCAGCCCTTGTCCTTAGCTCTTCCATCTTTAGTCCTGTTGAAGTCGGGAGTTAGCAGCTGAAGGGAATCTGGATGCTTTTAAGAGGGAGAACATTGGGCGGTCTTTACTGATAGAATTAGCTCTAATTAAAGGGCAGTTTTGCACCAGCTTGGGAGGTCCTCAGCGCCCTCCTCAATATGAAAATGATGACAACCGCCCCGTAGGTGGAGCGTTGAGTTCACTTTGTGCCAAAGAGTAGCTCGCGCGCAGGATGTGAGGATTATCACATTTAATCTTCACAGCCCAGTGGGAAGGTTAATTATCATCCTTTGCATCTTTGTGAAGTGTTTGAGGCTCAGCGAGGGTGTGCAGCTTATTTACTATCACACAGCTAGCCAGTGGCAGGGCCAGGATTTAAATGCAGTTAATTGTGAACAGCAGCAGGCACTCATTGAGCACATGCTTTGTGATCAGCCCTGCTAGGGGCTCTCTGTAGATTATCTGGGTTGGACGGTGCCGCTGTGAGGTGGGCACTGTTGATATACTCGTTTTACTGCTGAAGAAATCCAGGTTGAGAGGTTAGGGAACTTGCTCAGGATCCCCTAGCCCCTCACGCCACAGGCCCTACCTGTCTTCCCATGCTCCCCTCAGCCGCCAGTTTCCTCCTCGGGTTTGCTTTCGGGCTTTGATGTTTTTGCCCTGCCTGCTTTCTCTTTTTCTACCTGTCATATTTTACCAGAAGGACTCCCTCTGGTCATCCCTTGGTCTTCTTTCTCTCTTCCTAATTTTAGTTTTGTGCTTTTGGTAATTTTAACATTTTCTTCCCATGTTTCCAGTTTCTCCGCACAGTTCATGCCCCCACTACTAATTTCATGAGTCAATAAAGTTCCGTCATCACACCAAGTCCGTGCGGCCTGAAGCCCCCCTTCCACCGCCTGCACCGATATTGCTTTTGGTTGTAAAGAGAAGTTAGAAATTAAATCTAATTTAAGACTGTTTGATCCTAAGATTCACATCCCAAGCCTTACCTTTCGCAGAGCTTTGGTTCACACTAAGAATAATTGAAGTAATTTGGTTTGAATCATGGAAGGCTAGGAGCATAGAGAAACCTGTTTTGGGAGTCTCAGACTTGCCCTTTCCCACTGTTTTGACAGTGGCTGATGAAATGGAGCTGAGATTACATTACACATGGGATTTTTTTCTTTTTCTTGCCTAGGAAATAATCAGGTTTTAAAAGCTGAATTCTTAGCAAAACTGTATTTTCCATTTCTTAAGAATATGTATGTTGGTAATTGATAGCCAGAGACCAGACATCCTTGGAAGCATGGTGATATTTTACTTATTATGTTGGGCCTTGAAGGAAAGAAAGGAGTCTTATAAATTTAAATTTTACTCAGATTTATTACATACATACATTTATTAATAACCCTAGTCCCTGTCAAAAGATTTAAGGAGGATATTTGAGGTCTCGTCGTGCCACGTCGGCAGGGTCTTGTCCTGCAGCCCGCAGACATCCGGAAGCATAGTCCCAGGCTCCTCAGGTCGTGCGTGTTGGGTTGGCTGCACAGCCAACACTGTTGGGTCTTCACCCTGCTAAGTTCATGAGCCTCAGACTGTTTGTGGCAAAACTGGAATTCAAGTCTGTCTCGGAAGTCTGTGTTTCTTCTATGAATCAGGTTGTGTGCGTGAGGGTGCGCCATCCATTGATGCTGGCTGCTTTGGCTGTGGTGCACCCATTCTGCAGCCTTTTCTTTACCTCACGCTCTTGCCATGCAGTGTAGGTAGTTGCACTCGGTCTTCCTCATTTTTATTGTGAGATCACGGCTGACTCACCTGTAGCAGACTTCTTTCTGTGTAGTCTTCACTCATTTCTTTGACATTGCCTCCCAAGTCACACAGCAGGAATTGGTCTTGAGCTCATTCTGTCCGTATTAAATTCATCATGTTCCTAATCAGTGAGAAAGAATGATTTGTTTAATATTGTATTTGGCCTTGTTTCTTATCATATCTAATTGACGGAGTATTTGCCATTGGGATATCATTAAGAAGGAGGTAGGTAGAAAGCCTTCCAGAAAAGTTTTCCAAAGGGCCATTTGAAGAACATTTAATATTCAGTTTTATGTATTAATAAAATGAATGCAATCTGTGCATTTGAATTTTTGAACTGAACTTTTTTTTCTTTTTTGAAACAGGGTCTTGCTATGTATGTTTTGAAACAGGGCTGGGCCTTGAGCTCACTTGGTAGCCCAGGATGGTCTCAACTCAGTGATCTTCCTGCCTCAGCCTCCTGAGTGCTGGGATTACAGGTGTGTGCCACCATGCCTGGCTTTT